CAAGATCATTGTTCATGAGGAGTCATTGAACTCCTTTACCGAAAGCAATGGTTTTCAACAGGAATGAGTTTGTCCCCACTGAGTATTTGGTAATGTTTGAAGACATATTGGGGGGGGGGGCAGGGGAGGAGAAGTTCTACTAACACCTAGTTAGTTAAGGGCAGAGGTGCTGCTCAGCAGGACAGTCCCCAGCCCCTTGCAACACAACATAATCTGGCCCCAAATGCGAATAGTAGCAAGATTGAGAAATTCTATCTCAAGCTGAGCAGATTTCCATTTTAGGAACGTTTTGCTGGTCCCGCTGTGGATCATGGTCTTGAGGAAAGACAGACCAGAGACCATCTAGAAAATTCCTGCCACAGTGCTAGGGAAGAACAGGAAGGGCTCAGATCCTAATTACTATCGCAGCCGGCATACCTCAGGTGCTTCTTACACACTAGGCCAAGGATTCTGTATGCATTATTTTAAAATCACAACAATTCTATGACATTGGCCATTCTTGGGCTCATTTTTGCAGGGAACCTGGAGTAATGGCATCAACGTTCTAGAAAAATCAAGGTAAAATAAATTACGTTTCAGTCAAAATATCTAAAATAGTGATAGCCTTTTTCAAAACTAGTTGTTAACTATGTAAGGACCACTGATAGCTCATTGCAACCGAGTCCATTCGGATTCACGGCAACTCAGTAGACAGATCAGAACCGGCCCTGTGGGTTTCTGAGACTGATGGGAGTGGAAGGCCTCACCTGACTCCTGAGGACAACTAATAAAAAGCTAAATGTAAGATAACTTTTATAAGCAGAGGAAAAGTTATTGCCCTGTTAGAAGTGTTGTATGTAGTTGAAATCTATGTGGGCATTTTTGTTGAAGTTTAAAAGCTTTACATTTTTATTTTTAAAAGATATCCACATTAAAAATGGCAAAACCAACAACTGTCCCAGAATTTAAGCTATTACTTCAACTTTATAGCTTTAAAAAGTAATATGTACATTAGAAAAGGTGACTGGATTCTATTTCTGAATAAAGATTATACCTTTTCAAGTGACGGAAAACAGTAGAACATAAAAATTGCCAAGTAATTTCAAGATCAGAACCACAAAGAGCAATGGGAGTTTACATTATACAAATTAAAAACTTAAAGGTTATAGCTTCAATTTACAAGAAGAAAATGCTTATATATTTTTCTCTAGAAATCTTTAATTCTACAGACAGTTGTTTATTATTAAAAGATCATTTTATTGAAGACTCTTAGAGCTTATAGGAATACATACATTAATTGTATCAAGCATTTGTACGTATGCTGCCATCATTATTTTCTAAACATTTACTTTCTATTGAGCCCTAAGTATCAGCTACTCTTTTTTCCCTCCACCCCACCCTCATGACCTCTTGATAAATTATAAATTATTATTATTTTCACATCTTACACTGACTCCTGTCTCCCTTCCCCCATGGCTGTTCATGCCCCTGGGGATGGTGGTGGTGGGGTTATGTGTTGATCAATGTGATCAGTTCCCTCTTCCTCCCTTCCTCTCCCCACATTCCCCCTACCCTCCTGGTATCACTACTACCATTTCTGTTCCTGGATTCTGTGTGTTGTGAGCTCCGCTCTGGGTCTAGCCTGCAGTGAAAAGCAGGACTGGGGTCATGATAGTGGGGGTGGGGGGTAGGGAAGGAGGGTGAGGAAGCCTCAAGGAACCAGAGGGATATTGTGTGTTTCATTGGTGCTATACTGCACCCTGGTTGACTCATGCCTTCCTTGTGACCTTTCTGTGAGGGGATATCCCATTGTCCACAGATGGGTTTGGGGCCTCTGCTCTACACCCCCTTGTTCTGAGCAATATGTGTTTTTGTTTGTTTGGTTGTTTGTTTGTTTTGGGTGTTCTGATGCCTGTTACCTGATCCCTTCGACACCTCCAGATCGCATAGGCTGGTGTGCTTCTTCCATGTAGGCTTGTCGCTTCTCTGTTAAATGGCTGCTTGTTTAAATTCAAGCCTTTAAGACACCAGACACTATATCTTTTGATAGTTGGGCACCATCTGCTTTCTTCACCACACTGCTTATGCACCCACCTTCAGTGATTATGCCGGAAGGGTGAGCATCACAGAATGCCAGGTTGTTAGAACAGTGTTCTTGCATTGAGGGAGGCATGAGCAGAAGCCCAAAGTCCATAGGCCAATACCTCTCCTTTTGTATTTGAATTAATGTATTTACATATGTGCACACCTATGCTCATACCTCTATCCATAGCTTTGCTTCCTAGATCTCTCCTGTTTCCTTTTATCTTCCTCCTGCCCCACCATCACGCTCGCCCTTCTTCCGCCTCTTAGTAATTCCTCTCAACTAGACTGCTGTTGCTCCAACACCCCCGGGATTTCTACGTCCTCTTTCATTGTTGAGTTTAATTCCCTAATTATTCCCCTCTCTATGGCGTTGTTTGCTCACAGCTCCCTTCCCCCACCTCCTTCTCCCCAGTTTCTCTGGAACCTTCAGAACTGTCGCTTTCTCCTCGAGCTGGCTTCCCATGTCTCCTATATGAGTAGGCAAACCAACAATAACAGAGACCAAACACAAAGAAAACAAAAGATTGAACAAAAAGAGAAAAGGAAAAAAAGATAATAATAACTAGCAAAAAAACCCAAACAAACACAAAACCATACATAATTCCAGGTCTATAGTAGTTTTTGGAATGGCTTTAACTAAATTTAACAGAAAACCTAGAAAACTCATTGCCATTGAGTTAATTCTGACTCATAGCAACCCTATAGGATAGAGTAGAACTGCCTCTTTGGGATTCTGAGTTCAAAAAGTAGCCCTTCAACAGTAGGGCCAAGGTGTGGTCGCTTAATTTCCCATCACTGATAATGGGCCAGCAGCAAAGAGACTACCATCTAGCAGAGTTCCTGACGTGGGATAGCTGTAGGAGTTGGTGTTTTTAACTGTCTTTGAGTGAATGCCTGACTCGTGGTCTCTCTATACAGAAAAGAACTAACCATTCTCTAGCCTTACACACCCCATGATCCTTTGTAGATCAAACTATTATGACTCATAGGGCACTCATTGGCTGATTTTTGGAAGTAGAAGACAAGGTTATTCCTCCTATGGTGGGTGATATGGACATCTTTGTATAGAAGCTCTGTTGAACCCTGTTTAGCAACACACAAGACTCCCCTGAGAGGCGGCTGTCCATGAGATACATTGGCTGGGATTGTACCAGGGACTGCCTCATGGTGGGCCAGAATTCTTCCACTAAACTGCCACTGTCCTCTCGGTGTAGATCACTCAAAAGTATTCTCACTCACTCACTCACTCACACATGCCTTTAATACACACCAAGTGTCTGGGCCAGACCAAATATTCTGCCTGATGATGCTTAACAAGCTTCAACACAGAGACGGCATGGCCCTTTAATTTGTGAACAGTATAGTGCTGGCATAGAATACTGCAAGTCCCAGGGATGGCCAAAAGAACTGACAGATCGTCTTGGAAGAAGTACAGCCAAAATGCTCCTTAGAGGCAAAGATGGCTAGACTTTGTCTCACATACTTTGGATTTGTTTTCAGAAGAGACCAGTCCCTGGAAAAGGATCTCATGCTTGGGAAAGTGGAAGGACTGTGGAAGGAGGAACGTTCTCGACGAGATGGATTGGCACAGTGGCAGCAACAATGGACTCAAAGATAAGACCGATTGTGAGGTTGGTGCAGAACCAGGTTGTGTTTCATTCTGCCATACAGAAGGTTGCTATGAGACTGGATCGGCTCAGTGGCACCTACCAACAACAGTACACTGCACCCACCGTCATTAATGAAGTGACCGCGGCCGAGGGAGGGACTCGAATGCAAGGAATATGTGGAACATGCGGAAGCTTTCTTTGTCTTTTCCAGTTTTCCACCATCCTTTATCCTGCAATTCCAAGGCAAAACAAAGAGTAGGATAAGACTTCATGTTGTCTCACCGAGTAAGAACGTGGGTGAATACATGCTATTAGTTAAGGAGCAAACTCTTTTCTCACCGATTGCAGAATAAGTGGACCTCACTAGGTTCTGGGTTCCCCTACCCGCCACCGCTCCCCCTTATGCATGGAAGTCTTTCTGCTTCACTGGGACTTCAGAGTGGCAAGAACACCCTTTAGATTAGAGACCATCTGGAAGTGGGTTGCCTACCACCATTGTTTCTTGATCATTTTAAATATTTCCTGCCTTTTCTGATATTAAAAGGGACATAGGTCATTTGAGAAACTTTGAGGAAATTATAAAATCACAGAAAACTATGTATACTCTATCTATTCGTATATTATTGTTAGTATTTGGTTCAATGTCTTCCCCCACCTCCCATATCTATTGTGTGACTTTAGGAGAGTGAGACCTTGCATTTTCCCCTGGTCATTAAGTATCCCTTAAAATGTGATCTTTGGTGGCAGTATCCTCTCTATGGGATACCACTCTCAATAGCTTGTGTATTCAGCTGTGCAATTTGCTGAATTGTGTTTGAAAACAAAATATTCACTGTGGGCACGTTGCCCAGCACTTGCTTGGCAAAGATAGGCAAGGATGGCCTCCTCCCTGCAGTGCTCAGCTCGCTTGTCCATGTGATGGGAGGATGAGGATGCGAAGCGCACATAGTAATCAAGGGAGAATGGAAGTACTGGAAGGGGAAGAGGGGAAAGCCTTAGTATTCTTCTCTCTACGGACTCCGTTGCCTTGACAGCAATGTCAACTATGAGACTGATGGGAAGTGAGAACACAACAAAGGTTCCACCACCTGAAACCGAAACCCACTGCCGTCGAGTCAATGCCAAGTCCCCGGGGCCGTGCAGCCCAGCGTGGAGCTGCCTCATAGGGTTACCAGGCTGTCAGTCTCTACTGGCACTGCCTGCCCTGTCTCTCTCCATTGGCAGCCGTGCACTTACCTCTGCACCACAAGGTGTCTTTAATATGAGACCGGACCCTCTAAACAAAGCTGACTATTCTCAATACGTCCACTGTGTAGTACCTGAAGAAAAGAAACTGTAATAGAGGCAGTGTGACCTTTAGAACCAGACAGATCTGAGCTTCTTACTTTCTGTTAGCCTCAGTTCTTTCATCTGTACAATGGTCATTATAATGTCTGCCTCTTACAATATAGAATGCTCTCACTTTATGCCAATCTTTCCTCACTACCCTGCCTTAGTGTGTGCCCAAGCATCATGCACAGGCACATTCTCTCTCTCTCTCTCTCTCTCTCTCACACACACACACACACACGCCTAAGGAGTAATTGAATAGGTGAGAAACTCTGATTGATTCTGTGTTTACAGACTATGAATGCTCAGAGCTCCCCCCAAATAGATTTATTTGGAAAACATCACTCAATGCCTGTGTGTGTCTTGTTTCCATGAGAAAACTTATAAATTAAAGCATAAACACTTTATCTAACACTGTTCTCTGTTCGTCTGAACTCCAGAAGCCATACGAAACTAAGAGACACCCTGATGGAAAATGTGCACTGTGGCATCTACACGATCATCTCCATATCCCTCCTCCCATTTTCCAGATCTATAGAGCAGAGAATAAATATTCCCCAAAGCTGGAAAGACATCCACTTTCCTCCAATATCACAAGGAATTGATGGATGAGCTTGCTGGTGGCAACAACTCATGTGTGCTTTTCTTGGACTACTGCTGGAGGAATATGTCTTACCTAGTCAAGTGCTCTCCACCAGATAAAGTCTGATTAAAATGCCTGGTGACCTTAAGGAGGAAACAGCTACAAAATAATGGATCTGAAACTGAAAGGCAGCTATGCTTAAAGAGAACGTACCCTGGGTGGTGGTGTCCTTTCTTGCTTTCTTTCAAAGCTGGCATTCACAGTCCATTTCGTTTCCTCCCAAGGTCTCCGTCCTCATGTGGTGGTGACGGTGATTCGATCTGTTGATATGTTGCTCTCCAAGCAACGTCATGTGATGAAACCAAGAGCTTGGGAAATTGGCTGGGTGCCTTGCCCTGCTTCTGGACAACATTCAACTCCCCAGGATGGCTTCTTCTCTTTCCAAGTGTGGCGTCCAATCCGCTGTCAAGTTCTGAATCCCTCATGTCTGTATTCTCTTGTGTAGACCCCAGGAAGGAACTGCCTAGAGACGGAGATGCTGAATGTTAAAGGTCAAGAAATCCAGCGGGACAACAGGCTGTTACAGGAATCTCTGTTGGGATGTGTCCTTCAATCGCGCAGAGGATGAACCTGAGGTTTTGTGTGTGGTGTCCTCTCGCTTGTCCCACAGTCCATGGTAACGAGTGTACCTTATGGCTTGAGGGTGAGGTATGCTCTGCATTTGATCTTGCCTAGAGATGACACACAGTGTTAATGAGCCTCTGGCACAAGATTCTTGCCCACACTGACCTTGTCAGCATATGCCTCAAGTTCTAACCTGACTCATGAGCACAAGCAATGTTTTTTCTTTGTCTGCACTGGAATTGCTGCTGCGGACCCCCTATCTTTCCTCATGAATGCCAGCTTATCTGCAAAGAAGGAGTGTTTCTAGAGAACATGTAAGAAATAGCAAGAGAAAACCATAAATTCAAATTTCTCAGGAGGTTGAAGGGAGTTGGGGGGCGGACCCCAACTCAGGAGATAAGAGTTGTGAATCAGAACGTACAGCTTAAAGAAAAAAGAACGCAGATCAACTGACACAATGGGTTTGAGGGCTTGTTTCATTCCTTCAGTCATTTGAATGCAGACCTTCTGGGGAATAATCACGGCACAATCAGGAATCTGTAAATGCCACAGAATATGACAACACCTGTCACTGAATCTGAGAAGCGGGGGACTCTCCAGTGGGGGATAAGGAACCATTGCACGCAGTGCTGACACTGCCAACTGAGTCCACCTTGGACGCATTTTCAGGATGTGGTGAAATGCTTTCTGTAGCTTACCACCTGCTGTAATACACTGGCTCGTTGACCCACAGCAAGGTGCATGAACCCTGCCCAATCAGGAAATCAAGCCAGATCTAGGTAGTCACCAGACAGGATTCAACCCAGGGAACCAGTCACCAAAGAACCGAGACGGGCTGCAAAAGCCAAACCAGTCACTACAGGTTCTAGGAGGACTGGCAGTCACAGAAAACAATTCTTACTGAGCCCTGACGGCGCAGCCTGTGCAGCATTGAGCAGCTCGCCACAGATCCACCAGCGCCTAGACAACTGTCTACTCTCCTAAGGACACGTTGTGGCCATTAGTAGCCCACACGGAACAAGGCGCTGTGAGTCCTGTGCCAACCGTGCTGCAGCCTAAGCCCCGTGAGGCAGCCACTGTGCTAATCCCTCTCCATGAGAGCTTCTTCTTTTTTGATGCCCCTCCAATTTACCAAGCATGATGCCCTTCTTCAGGGCCTGCTCTCTCCCGACAATATGTCCAATGTATGTAGAATCTCCAAAGCCCAGATCTACTCTGTCCTGTAGGATCACTGGGGATTGAATCAAGTTGTTGGCAGGGGGGTTGGATACCTTAACCTAGTGGTGCACTAGGTTAAGCACTCAGTTGCTAACAGACCTTTGGGAGGTTCAAACTCACCCACCGGCTGAGTCCTGATGGCATAGCCTGGTAAGCACGATAATCATAAAGATTACAGCCTAGGAACCCTATGCTATAGTTTTCCTCTGTCACATGGGTCCCCGTGTATTGAAATCAACTGGGTGGCAGCTAACCACAAAGATCACACCCACAACCGGAGGACCAAGGGGAACATGATTTTACCGAGAGCCCATGGACGCAGCCACCGAGGCTGCTGCTGGTGACACTCTGCAGCCGGAGTAGGACCTCAGCAGCCTGCAGTCCGCAGCCACCCGCATTTCCATGTTCTTCTGCAAATGCTGCTCGTGGTAGCTGTCTCCACTGTTCCTCCTATCCCTAATGGAGATAATATACTGGAGACTGCCTAGCATATTTGGAAGGGGATTTGGTGAGGTAGGGGGTTACGTGTTGGGCTTCTAACCACACAGTCAGCAGTTTGAAACCACCAGCTGCTCTGTAGTAGAAAGATAAGGCTTTTTACTCCTATAAAAATTGCTATCTGGGAAACCCCGGGGGACAAGTCCACCCTGTCCTACAGTCTTGTCATCAGCCAAAGTCAGCTCCAGTATAGGGAGAGCATGCTGGGATTCACCTTGGTTGTGGGTGTGCAGTTTAGGTCCTTGCCCACGAAGACTTTCCACAAAGACCTGATTGCATTAAAATGCCATCTAGCACTCTACAGTGGATTATAAAAACAACAGTTCATAAATATTTCAAAGATCCATATAGAAAACTGTGTTCTAAACAGCACCATTTCTTTTGTTGTTGTTGTTAATACAGGTAGCCTATGAAGCTTGTAGAGGTTATAGACTTGATGTTTCTGTACTTGCAAAGTGTCCTGAGAAATCCTCATTGGTAGTTAAGGACAATTTGAAACTTGTTTAAAATTTTAAGTGAAATGGTGCTTACTAATAGCTCCTTGACAGCTTCGATAGGTTTGGGGTGGCATGCCCTGATCTATTGCACGGTTGTATCCAGGATACGAAGGGCAGGCTTATCAAACTTGCAGACGACAGAGCTCTCGGTGAGCTGGAAACACTGTGGGATGACAGAATCAGGGCACAGAAGAGATCTTGACAGGTTCAAGTGATGGATTGCATCTAATGGGACGAAATGTAGTAATGATAAAAACAAGACTCTGCATGAGAGTTTCATTGCCATCAGGATGAATACAGAAAGGGATGCCAGTGGGAGTCGGGTGGGGAGCAGTTTGCTAGGGAAGTCAAGGCAGAATGAACCGATGAGGCTGGCAGAGGGATGAAAGAAGGTGTAGGTTTCCTCAGTAGAAGAATTCACTGTAAAACAAGGGAGAAGTTGGGTCTGCCAGGGCTGTGTGCTGCAGTACTGT